TTTTTTTTGGAGAGGGGGGGATACAATATTACATTACAATGTGTAAAATATGAATATAGTTGAGAAACATTCGATTTTCCATTATATCCTTATATTTTTTAGTTTATGATCAACACCACTCATAATATTTAATTATATCTAACACATAATTACTATAAATATTTAAATAAAACATTCATCTACAACAAATTTTGAAACATTGATAACAGACTTATTGTATACACAAGTTACACGCGTCAAACACATTTTCTCTTAAAACAACAATTTTAGTTTTTTATATTTTCTTTTAAGAAAATATTAATATTAAATACATAATGCTAAAATTTGCAGCAAATTCAAACCCAAGTTTCAATTATTAATATTATTGTTTTAATATTACATACATAATGATGGGGCACAAATTTCAGAATTTGTTACAAATGAATGTAAATAATGTAAAACGATATTAATAGTCTTAATCATGTTTATGTTGACGGTTTAGAATTTCAACTGCAATTATTCGAATAATTATTTACTTATTATTCAACTGTGAGGAGATAAAACTATATCATTAACTATTTTTTAAGGATAATGACTCTGATTTTTTTGTTTGACCTTCCATTTCTTTGGAAATTGTAATTTATGCTCCATTCACGTTCATGTGTAAGACTCTTGCACACTTGGACAAATCGTTGATGCAGGTGGCCTTATCCAAAGGTGGGAAAAATGGTACTTCGACGATCAAGTTAGACCAATATAGATGTATTTTTGGATGTGGGATGAACACTAGATGTGAGATTGTAAAATTACATTACCTTTACGTGACATCAAGTGTGAGCATTTATAGTAGATAAGAGAAGGCGATTATAGTTGGAAGGATGAGACGGGGCTTCATCTCAATGGTTGATGTGTCATCCTTATAGACGTCACCTACTGTCCTAGGTGGAGATGTCACTAAATGATTCTGAAAAGTGGATATCTTATGGCCTATGTCTGATATTTGAAAAGTTGACTGATAAATTGATCGAGAGACATGTGGTAGAGATGTCAAATCAATTAATCGTATGAAAGATCTTGTAAGAGGATCTCTTCGATGAGGTGAAACTATAGAAGATACACTGTTGAAAAAATGCTTATCGTTTAGAAAATTGACAGCAACAAATCGTGGCACGTCACTTCGGTTATGTAGGTTCAGCCTCTCCGTCCCTCTTCGACTGAGGTGAAATTATCACTTCGGCTACTTTTACTTGATGGTCTTGATTAGGCCAAATAAGCAACTGATGTGGAGTGCGAGCTTTTAGGTGGGTTCTTGCTATTTCCTAGCGACTGCCACGTGGTCAATAACGAGAGTCTCTGTATGTCACATGGTTATGTATTAATATTACAATTACTGCTTAATTTATATAATATTATCATTGTGAATCGTGACTAATTGTAATTTATAAAGTTTAATGTGCCTTGGATGCTCTAAGTGATCGTCGTACCTATTAATTTAAGCTTTATACTTTTCTAGTTTTAATAAACTTAGATTAAATTATGAAATTTATTTTATCATGTATTATTAACTTCTCTTTCGGATTGAGCCTAAAACGTTGAGCAGGAAATTTTTTTCTCAATAAATACATTTTTAGTAATATAATTCAAATAATAATTGGGCAATAAAATAAAAATTTAGTAAACTGATGAGAACAATTTAAGGCTTCAATAAGTAACAAGGATAATTCAGGGGCTCATCAGTCAATTACTATAAATTAAACATATTTAGAAGTCGGTTATAGCTTAGGAGTCAAACTTTTACCTTGATATATATACTCCCTTGCAATAGTCTGATTTTCATCTTCGGCCAAAATCTTTATTCATCTCATCATTGCTGAATTATGAATCTTCCGCCTAAGGTATAGGATTTTCCACGTCATTATATTATATTTACGTTGATCGAATGTAAATTCTTTGGCTTTATGAACTTGTTACCTTTGTGTAATCCACACGTGTGTCCACACACACGTGCGCAACACACACACCATATGTATGTATGTATGTATGTATGTATGCATGTATGTATGTATGTATAGGTATGGACAAGTGTATGCAAATGTGTAAATACATGTGTTGTATGTACTTGTATACAAAGTTTTAAAATGCGTAATTTGTGAGTGTATTTTGGTGAAACATAAGCATTATAAGAATATATGCATTTGCAAAGCATAAACATATTTATGCATTTTTCAAAAATTATTCTAAATATTCCAAATTAATAATTAAATAAATAAAATAATGAATTCTTTAAACTTTATACACATTCTTCAAACTTTTTTTTATATAAAAAAATTATTACTCAAAATCATAAATTCTATGATTATTTGAACTTTATACATATTTTTCATTTTTTTAACAAACGAAGCGTGCAACAAGAGAAGACCAATAATAGAAAGTAACGAAATAGAGACTGGGAAAGAGATCAAACTTAATGCTCAAAATCATAAACACGACAATCTAGAATTGTTTATTACTAGCATCACTTGCCAGTAAAATCAGAGAAAGATCGAAAAATAAGAAGGCTCTGGTTTGGTATAGATAGTTTGTAATTCTACGAAAAATTTGTTTTGATTTTTTATTTTTCTTTAAATGTCAAAACCCTACATATTGCTTTATATAATTCATGGACTTCGGTGATTTGAGTTAATTTGATGTTTGTTAGGTTCAATTTGATTTTTTTAAGTTTTAAAAATGGGTTGGACTTTGTAGTCTAATTTTGACATAATTTTCAACACAAATGCGTGCACATTTTGAAATTTAAGCATGCATATGAGATCAACCCATTCTTTTTAGCGTCTATTCAAGCACATACCCCCATAAACGAGACGTTGCCTGGGGGGTGTCATAAATAAATAAATATATATATTCCTTGAATTTGTCCTAAACTCCATTTTGTATATTGGATTTCAACACACCACCATCATAAACCTGATTATTTTAATAGAAGTAAGGAATGTTTAATTTACTAATTATTTACGTATTTTTAATGTAAGCACTTGGTCTAAAATTTGGATTTTCAATTATGGAAAATCTATTCTGTGTCATTTGCACTGGTTTATGTTTTATCTCCTAAAT